AAAAAAATAATATTTTTAAATATTTTTTATTATAAAAAAGTAACTTTTATTTTAATTTAATACTTTTATAACTTTTTAACTTAAATTATATTAAATTTATTAATTAATTTAAATTAAATTTATAATATAAATAAATATAAATTTTAAAAAAAGAATTTAAAGTTAAGTAAAATACTTAAAGATATAATAATAAATAAAGTTTATATTTTTAAAAGTAATAATTATATTTAAAGAATAATTTTAAAATTAAAAAATATATAAAAAATAAATTATAATTAATTATAATTTTTATTAAAATAAATCTTTAAAAATGATAATTTCTAAAAGCTTTTTTCTTTTAAAGTTATAATATATTTTAAAAAGGCTAGGCCTTTTATAATATCTATTTTAAATAGCTATAAAAAACCTTTATTTTAAAAATAAAGTTAAAAAAATTAATAAATTAAAGGATTTTTATTATTAATAGCTTTATAAATTATATTTTTTTTTTTCCTTATTATTAGCCTAATAAGGCTATTAAGCTATTAACTTTATATATAAAGGCTTAAATAATAAGGCCTCTATAATAGGCCTATATCTTTAAGGTTAAAATTATATAAGGTTTATTTACTTTAATAATATAATTACTGCCTTAATTAAGTAGTATTAATACTACTTACCCTTTAGTAGCTATATTAGCCTTTTTTCTTTACTTTAACTAAAAGACTAAAATATCTTTAATTAACCTATTTAACTAGGCTAAATTTATTATAAAGTATATTCTTTAATTTAACTTTCTCTCTATTAATTATAGCTATTAATATTAATTATAGCTATTAATATAATACCTATTATATAAAATAGCCTATAGCTATATAATTAGGCCTATTATATAACTAGCTATAACCTTAATATTATTAAAGGCTTAGGCTTTACCTAAGCCTCTATAGGGTTATATAACTTAAGGACTTAATTTAGATTTAGGCTAAAACCTAAAGGTATATAAAGAGAATTCCTTAAGAATTCTCTCTTTTTTTTTTTAAGTTTAATAATATTTATATTAATATCCTTTTAGTTATAATTAAAGAGCCAGTCTATAATAATTATTAAACTTTTTATAGCCTAAAATATTAATAACTTTCTAGCTATTACTTATTATAAAGGAATTAAAATATAATTATAAAGGCTAAAGATAAATACCTTATAGGCCTTAATTAAGGCTTAATATAATAAGCTCTTTAGGAATTAATAGTTTATAATATTATAAATATATTAAATAATATATAAATTTAATAGAAATAGATTTATATAAACTTTTAAAATAACCTAAATGCCCTTTAGGGTAATATTAAAAGTATTATTTAAAGATATATTTTTAATACTATTAATATTATATAACTTTTAACCTTTTAGGCTATCTCTTTTATAACTCTTTAATTAGCTGCTTTTTTAATAATAATTAAAGGCAGATTAAAGCTATAATAATATTAATACCTATTAATTATCTTTAAGTTTAATAGTATTAAGGTAATATAGCTATTTTAAAAGCTAGTAATAAAATATATATTAAAAATATAGGCTAATAAAATTAATAATAATAAAAATAAATAAATATATATTTTTATAAATCTAAAAGGTAATATATTATAAACTATTAAGTTATTCTTTAAGTCTAAATATTATAAACTGGCTCTTTAATTATAACTAAAAAGATATTAATATAGATATTATTAAACTTAAAGAAAAAAAAGAGATTCCTTAAGGAAATCT